GTCCACCCACAACTCAATCCAGCTGAGATGGGGCCAAGATGTTTTGGACATGGAAAGAATTTCAAGGTGATCCCAGCTCTGAAAAATAAGGACACTGAAAGCAATTCATCCAGCCCAGCAATAGAATTGGGCTTGTTCAGCCTGGAGAAGAGAAGGCTCCAGGGAGACCTTATAGCACCTTCCAGTGCCTGAAGGGGCTACAAGGAAGCTGGGGGGGACTTTTTACAAGGGCCTGTAGTGACAGGACAAGGGGTAACGGGTTTAAATTGAAAGTGGGGAGGTTTAGATTGGATATCCGGAAGAAATTCTTGCCGGAGAGGGTGGGGAGGCACTCGGACAGGTTGCCCAGAGAAGCTGTGGATGCCCCATCCCTGGAAGTGTCCAAGGCCAGCCTGGATAAGGCTTGGAGCAACCCGGTCTAGTGCAAGGGGTCCCTGCCCATGGCAGGGGGGGTGGAACTAGGTGATCTTTAAAGTCCCTTCCAACCCAAACCATTCTATGAATCTATGGAGCGGCCTCCAGCCCTGCCAAGGCATGGAGTGGAACACAGCACCATCTACAGGTGGCCGCATATATTACACCTCGGCATGAAAGATGCTGGTATTAACGTAATAGCCCCCTCCAGCCTCAAAAATAATCAGCGTGGCTAAAACCTTAATGCCGGTTGCAATAACTTAGAACTAAAACCCGTGTACATTAAAAAAAAAACCCCACAAAACACCTTAACTGTCAAACTCGCTGTAGCCATAGCAAATTAAACTGCTCCCAGCCTTCCTGAAAACTAGTTGAAGCATCTGAATTGAAGCATTTATATATGTCTATAAAAGAATTGATGGCTGTAACATTCAAACTCTACCCTCCCAGGGATAAATGCTTCAGCTGGAGAGAGCCTATCAAAAGGGACAGGCTTCAGGGAAAATGCTGATTTCCAAACCCCTTCGGTTCTCCGCTGGCTCGAAGTTGCTTCTGTTCATTCCTCTGTACTATTATGCTCGTGACCTCATTGGAAACGCTTCACCCTGTTCCTAAGGCCAACGCCTCCAGAATCACACAGCAGTAACACAACAAAGCGCTTGTAAAAACACTCCCTAAAGCAGCTATTTCAGCCTTTCCAAACTTAAAAGCACCTGTAGTTTCCCCAAGTTGAACGGCTTGTACACAAAAATCCTGTCCCACACCCTCTCCAAATAACCCCCCAAACCTGGTTCTTACAAAATCCAGCAACGTTCAATGAAGGTGCAGCTGAGAAACTCCAGTCGGAAAAGCAGCAGGTGCCTTCGGTGGTTTCACAAGGCCGCGCCGATGGCCAAAGACCTTCCCCGACGGGCGAGCGGCACGGTGCCTTGGCTGTCTTGGGGTGTCCTGCCCCAAGTCGTACAGGGGCTGGCAGCAGCTCTCCCAGTCCTCAGCAGCAGGCGGCAGCTCTCGGCATCTTCCTTGGCTTCCCAATGCGTGACACTGGGAGCGTGAGCATCACCTCCCACCTCTGCCAAACGCCCTGCAGCGGGGCGTTGAGGAAACAAGCTCTGGCACCGGTGGATCAAAGCCCAGCGCGCTGTGGGAAAAGGTTTTGATGGCTGTTTACCTGCCCCGGCTCATACGAGACAGAAGCCCAGGAGAGCCAACCACGAACACGTGCCAAGTCCATACACATCTCCCACCAAGTCCATATGCCTCCCTCGCTCCGCGTAACGAAGCCAACCTGTTGGGACGCAACCGGAGCTCAGCCTGGGTGCTCGGCAGACGCGGGGCCATGGGATGCACTTTCAAAAGCAAACCCGACGTGCTCTGCGAAAACCACTTCAAGCTCGCTGCCGCCTTCTGTGCTGGCTTTGGGACACTCTCCTTGAGCACACCTTTCCTTACCGAGACGGCAAGCCACCTGCACCCTTCCTTGGAAATACATGACGGGAATAAAAACTGTTAGCGAAGAAATAACCGTGAAACATCGGCAGCAAAACACTTCCAACGTTCAGCCACCGCATGTTGGAGCGGGAGAGAGAGACTTAACCAATCCATCCATGTTGCTTTATTAAAACCTTTATTCACACAGTGTTGCTTTATGCGGAATCTGACCCCAGGGGATACAAGTAGAAAGTCCTGATTGCATTCCGTCTTCTTAGCAACCTCCGTTAGCGCAGCCGCTCCCGGGGAGATCCCGACAGCTCCGAGAGGGGTGTCTCCTTCCAGCATCTCGCGCCAGCTGCCACAGCAAATAAATTACCTTCTTAATAAATTAGTATTTCTCAGTTGAAGTTTGTTTGGCAAGACACACTCCAGTTCGTTAGGTGCGGGAAGAGGAGCCGCCTTCCGTGTCTCCTCCAGCCCCACTGCTGACCTGGGAGATAAACTGCAGATGGATGACGATGCTCTCTTTTTAATTAGTTCTCGATTTCTGTGCCTCAAGCACTCCGAGATTACCAATACCCACGGCACAACCCTTTTGTAACAGCTGGAGCCAGCGAATGACAGCGAAAACCTCATCGACAGAGCACAGCACCTGCCTCACAAATGACCTTATTTCTCAAGAGGTCAAGCACCTGGGTTCTGCTCCTTATTTAAATGGTGATGGTTTAACGTGTCGCAGGGTTCTGTGTTCAAGCGGAACACCGCTTGCTGCCAAAACGCCAGAGGTTATCGCAGTGCCAGAATCAGATCTTCCTGGTTTTGGATAAGAGAGGAACTTCCTCTTCTCTCCTGCTGTGGAACACCAAGCGCCAGTGGTGTTGAGAGTGACCAGAAGCATCGACAGGACAAAAAGAGCAGAAAGACAGCAAGAATTTCTTGCTTCCTCCTGCTGCTGATGCTGGACTTCATACCCCCTTTGCTCACAGTTAAACCAATACCGCGCTCCAAACCTGACATTCATACTGGGGGAAAACTTATCCCTGGGTTCCATCTGATGGCAAATGCTTCGGCTTAGAGCTGCAGGAATAAGCAACACAGAAGCCCTGAACTCTTCATTAATGTCATAAAGACGTTTTGGTTTTTTTTTAATCCATTATTAAATCAATGTAAATGATCAAGAATGATCAAATATAAATCAAAACTTCAAATTTTGGTAGATCCTTCCCAAAATATTAAGTGCTTATGATAAGCTCAAAGAGAAGCACATGCTTTTAAAAATGCTATAAGCCACTGCCATGTGCTTCACGTTCTTCCCTTTGTGAATTTGAAAGAGTTTATGCTGAAACACCTGAGCACGAACCTGTTCTGCTTTAGAAAAAGCATCCGCTCACCACCTCACTGTTGCCCACGGTACTTCCCAACACGACCCCAAGTGCCGCAATCTGGGGGCAAGTCCAGTGACGGGCCGGCCCAGCCAGTGAGGGAGCAGGGCACAATCCCTGCGTGGCTCCTGCCCACGCTCACCTGGCCTCGGCGAACCTGCAGGGCACAATCACGCCGGTGGGTAACCTGGGCGAAGGACCACGACTCTGCTCATCACAGACAAAAAGCCTTCAGCAACAGAAACTGCATTCGTAGAATCAACACCTCTCTCATCAGGTACGGCAGCAGGAGGAAGCTCTTTGCCTGCCACGCTACTGCAGAGCTAGAAAGATTTTGACAGAAATATCAAGGAAAAGGTCTCAAACCAACATTTTGCTGCTCTTGCTCACAAGGCCAAGCACAGATAATCACGCTGGGAAGTGAGCTCCTGCCTTACTTCTAGGGACCGAGCTGAAAATCGATGCAAAGCTGTTAAGACTGAGAAACGTAACGACGAAGCCGCTTCCCTTCTGGAGACGGATTCAGACCTACCCCAAGCTTTACGGCCGCGTGCTCATCGGCAGCGCAGGCCCAGGCTGTGCTGAGGGATGACAGGACTAGCACGAGACAGGCGCTACAAGACCGCCCCAAAAAGCTCGCTTGCACTGGCTCTCCCCGCCTACGGCAAAACCATTAGGAGCGAGAAGCCCAGGACCACCACACCAGCTGGAATATCACAGCTGGGGAAGGCAAACACCTGCCTGGGAGTGCTCACAGGTCCAGAGCTCAGCCACGAGCCAGGGCAGGCTGACGGTGGGACTGAAAAACCCCCGGAGTTCCACGAAACAGTGGCACCGAGCTGTGCTTACAACACGGAGCAGCAGGAAGCTCCCTCCGTACGAGATGCTGCAGACAAGAGCACCGTTCAAGGTTCTCTCTCCGTTTCGGGGCCTTGCCCGCGGCCAGAAGTCCAGCAACAAACCTCACGCCCCAGTGCAACAGGCCCAGGCTCCCCAGATTAAACAGGGCGTAGAGGAAGCAGCACATCCTCGCTAAACAGAACCGGCTTCCAAGGACAGATTCCGTCCTCCTCCTCAGCTACAACGCAATGAAAATTGAGTTAACACGGACACAGAACTCCAAGGATATTTCCTCAGACCCTGCCAGGTTCCTTGTAAATGGGAAACAGTGACCAGACACCCAGGAGCTTACTTGAACCATGTAATTACCGAGTGCTGAATAACCACCCTGTCCTCCCTTAAACCTCCAACCTCATGGATAAACCTTCGCCAGGACTTCAGCAAAAACACTGAAGCATCAACACGCTCCAGGCAAACCCCATTCCCAGCCTTTTATCAAGGAAAAGGCAACTGAGCAGCAGAGGTGCCCTCTCCCACCCCAACGGCATTCCGAAGAACATCCCACCCCTGGGGGGGGGGGTGGCACAACTCTTCAGTCTAATAATTATTTTATTCACCGCTTCCTCTTTCTCTAATGAAGCAGTAGAATGCCAAACCAGCTCACAGCTGATTGTGTACAACCCTGAATCGGACACGAACTCGCAGGAGTGCGGCGGGGAAGAGGAGGGGAGAGGATCGCACCGTTCATCTCCGCGCTTCCCCTCCTAAACTCAGTCCAGAGATTAGTGTCCGCATTCCACGCTCCCACCAAGGGCCGTTTTGATCTGGTGCAATGCCCACTGCCGGCAATGGACACACCACAGCGGCCGAGACGCCGTTACGGGGACTGAGCCGTCCCAGGCTCTGGCGTCTCACCTCTCACTGCTGTCAGCCCAAGGTAAAAGCCAGCGTCACCTTGTTCCTCCGGCTCGGAAGCGTTCCCCTTCACTTCAGTCCCTCTTGGCCACAGCCCTTCCAAACCGATTGTGCTGTTTTTCTATCGCTTTTTTTTGTCCATTTGTGTGGTTTTGGGGTTTTTTTGTTTTGTTTTTTTTTAAAAAGGAGTTTCATCTGTGTTCCACTACGATTACAAATGAGAGAGTGTCATCCTGTCTTCCACCAGTACCACGTCTGGCCCAAACTGGTCTGTGCACTGCTTCACCGTCGCCAGAATGCTGAGGAGCCGCTGGTCCAGGGCGTCCAGGTGCAGGTCAGAGAGCACCGGAGAGATGGGGTCATGCGACATGGCACTTTTTAAGGCAGACTTCAGCACTCCGTTCTTCAGATAATTGAGTCTGTTCCAGGTAGAGACCCGGATGCTGCGAAAGAAAAAGAAACGTCATCCTGCCGCTGTCCAGCTGAAGTGCCATCAGCAATACCAACGCCAACCTTTTGAGGGAGCCTGTTACATCAGGATTTCATCTAAATGGAACAGAGTCTTATTACCAAAGTGGTTTTGGGTTGGGAGGGTCCAGGTCTAACTGCATTATACACATTATCTAAGCAAAACCTGAAATCTGAAGGTGAAGAGGAAAGAATCCAGTGTGATGTCACTCTTAGACAGGAACACGCTGAACTGCCAGCAAGGAAGTTCCGAGGCCTCCCAGACACAGGTTAAAAAGGAAAGAAAATTAACAGCCCAACGGTTAATTCCAACCCAAAACTCCTGTTACCTCAGGAACCACATCAGTCACAAATGACACGAGGCAACTGCACTTCCCCGGAAAGTGAACTTGGCACTGATCTTTCTGCCTCAGCGGCCATTAAACTCGGTCAGGTCAGCACATGGAAACTGTCTTGTTCTTTCAAGTCCCTTGGCATTCTCCCCCAAACTTGTGTGGTTTAGCACCACCGGTCTAAACTCGTGGCTTTTGAGAGCATCTGAAGAAACCAGCAATACAGGAAAATGTATAAAACAAACGACTGTTCCTATATGGCATTTGCCTGGGATCAGAAAGAAAGGGTATTGGAAAAGCAGGAAACTGCCGTGTCTCGTACACATGGAAACTTCTGTTCTGATTGCATTTGGGAGAATCTAGATGAGAAAGACTCCAAAAGACCCTCACAAAAGAAGAAATCACAAATGCATTTCAAATTTAAAAAACCTCTCAACCACATGCTTAACATGGAAGCTTGAAGGAGTTAACGTTATCTTGAAGGAACAGAGGCAGGAAATGGATATATCGGTGTTATTTCTTCCTGGTACTTTTATCTAGTTGTGAACCAGAAGTGGCAACGGCCTGCTGAGAGCGGGCACAGAAACCAGCAGTCTGAGCCTCTAAAGAAACTGCCAACAGAAACTGCTCGCAAGGCCCAAGCAGCCTCCAAACGCCGCTCGGAAAGCGGCGTCCGGAGCAGGGCCGCAGTCTCCTTGTGAGAGAACGTTTGGAAATGAAGGTGGTTAAGTTGCCAGACACGTGCAGCCCTTTGGTGCTGCCCAGGAGACCTCAGGCTGTGATGTGAGCTGTTATCCGGCGGGACCGGGATGAGATCACGGCCGGCGCACCGTACCTGTCCGACTGACGGAGGACAGACCTGAACCACTGACCTGGAGGCGAGACTGCCTCCCGCAGTCTACTGCCTGATTTACCACCTTGGGAAAAGAAGGTGCTTCTCAGCCTCTTGGGCAGCAGCAACACATCAAACACAGCAGCTCAGAGAGGTAAAGCGTGCTGTGGCCGAGTGACCATTTTCAGGTTGCCAGAAGGCTTCAAACTTACACCCCAAACCTAAGGAGAGCAAGGGTTACGTGAAGAGATCAGCATCCCTGCGTTTCACTTACATGCAGCACTGATAAAGAGGGGCCAGGATGCTTCTTTCGTCCAGGGCCGGGTTTCCAAAGCTGAAAAGCAAAATGAAAACCAGGTGAACCAGCTGAACTCCTAATGCTGTTCTCGCCACCAACTGATTTGTAAAGAACTGGAAGCAATCAATACTAGGCAATTTCATGCTCCAACAGATCAAATAGTTTAAATTAAAACGTGAGCAGGCCACGACTAACAACAGCTACAACGCTCAAAAGCATCAGCTCACGTACCAGGGAAGCGGGACACCTGCTTTTACTATGGCGCTCGCCGACACTCCCTGGTAAACAATGAACAGTAAGTTTTTAATTTGCCATTAATTAAAGGGAGGGGCTCTTCTGGGGATAGGAGGAGAGACAGAAGCAAATCTTGGAAGTTGCTCGGGGAAAACCAAGCTGTACTGTGCTGATTTAGGAGTCTCTGTAGTAAGGCTCTGCCCAAAGCAGTCGCAGCATCCGGAGCACCGCGTAATCCCCACAGCCTCTGAAGAACCCCAGTATTTGGTGGGGAGTTTCTGGTCTGAAGAAAGCTTCGGATGTTTAGCACAAAAGGTATTAAATGCAAAAAATTAGCAAGAGAAAGAAAAGGGAGGGCCACAGGGCAGATAAATGCAGGGCCTTGTGCTCACCACTGTCTGGCCACCTGGATTTCCCTTACCTTTTGGCATTATCCAAGAGAATGAGCATACTGGCTCCTTCGTCATCCTGGAAACTCTCATAGTGATGCCGGTCAGCATTCCCAATCAAATAGTCAAAGACGGCGGTGTCAATGATGTCGAGGAGACGGGGGCCCGAGTCATAGGGCGACGTCTTCTTCACAGCATCGCAATAGCTTTCGTCGTACTCCCACCTGCAGGACGTCAGAAGGAACAAACCAAACCTTCAAGGAGCGCTCCGGCCGTATTTACAGCCGACCCTTTATTCGCTTACGAGCGCAGCAGCCAAGGCCATATAAAGAAGAAAGAGCTGAACAGAAGTGGTTTATTAGACAGTAAATCCTCTGTTAACACCCCAGCACACGGAGCGAGCTGTAGTTTCAGTGCATGTCACCTTCCTGCAGAAAACAAGGTCAGTTTGCTGCCTCAGTGCTCACAATGCAGTGGTGGTCAGGCTGCCTCATGTCATCACGACTTGCCTCCCTTAATTTCCTAATTAAGGGCTCCAGTACTGCCTCTGTTTTCTATTGCCTTGACCTGCTTCCATCAGCCCAGTGATCATCATCTTTCTTTCTAATGCAAATAACCTCATCACGGTTACTAATGACCTCTCTTCTGAGGAGAAGGGCCTCCTGTCTCTTCATCCTTCACCCAGTTGTCTCTTTCCTTTCAGTGCCCCTCACCTTCTCCAGGGGCAACATGTCAAGCTTCCCTTTCCCCTCCTCCTACACATCACCCAGGCATGTAGCTGTGGTCTTATAACACGGATGTCATGTCTCAATTCTCCAAAAGCTAACATTTTACATTTTCTCATTTTCTTCTTTACAGTTTTCCAAGCTATGCGCCACCACAACAGCCAAACCTCTGGTGTATACCCCTTCCATCTGTCAACCTAAACAACAAGGACATCGACCACATCTTCCGTGTAAGGACCGAAACAGTCCCTCACCAAACGGCAGTTCAGTTGGAAATGCCTTAAGCCATCTGTGAACTGGAAACAGAAACGGAGGAAACACAAGCTGGAGACACTCACTGATGTGCTCAGAACCGCAGAGTCGTAAAAGCAGGGAGAAGATCAGAATTCAACTACCAGAACTGCCACATAACCCACCTCATCATCGAGAGGCCTGGAGCGCCCAATATCCCACCTTTCCTCCAGTTATCCCCATCAGAGTGGCCAAAAGTTTCTCTTCTCAGTGCTTTAATTTCACACACTCCTCAAATGCTGTCGCTTGCTTTTGCACCAAGGTCCAACTCACGTCTGCTGTAACAGCACAAACCCACACGGCAAAGTCTCAGAACGACTCTCCTTGCACCGGATACGTTTCTTTCACGCTACCCCTCTCTCCCTTAAGCGTTTCTCTCACTTTGCTTTCAACCCGTACTTCATCTACTCCAACAATTTTTCAGATACACGATGCTCTCTCATTTTTCATTGGCTTTTCCAAGACAGACCTCGCTCCGACATTTATTTCTGATCCTCTATATTGTATTAGCAGAGGACTTGGAAGGTCAGGGATTTTGTCTACTACACCCCCATTAAAACCAGCGTTTGCTAATGTGACTCCATGAATTATGTTCAAAGGGCCAACCCCGGGCAGAGCAGAAGCAGCCAGACAGGGAAAAAAAAAAATCCTACAGAGTTATTTCTCCACAGTCACCAGACACCGAGACAGGAGAACATGACAGCTGCAACATGCAGTTCTCCTGACGCTCTCAACGTGAGAAGCGCAGCACAACACGGGGCAAGCCAACGCAACCCTGCCATCTCCTCTGAAGCAGCTTTACAACACAGCAAACATCGAATCAGCAGAGGTATCAGAGTAAACTCCTGTGTAAGCAGGAGGTTTATGATGACAAACGGTCTCAAGCACCTCCAAGACATTCAGTCAGCCCGTCACTGCAGTTCACCATGCCCTACGTACAGCTGTTGGCCTGCTGAAAAGGAGACTTGCTGCTCCAAAAATCCAGGTGTACATTGACTAAAACAATTCAGTGAAGCCTTTGGATGAGATTCTTTCTGACAACCACCACGGCATTGGAAATGGATATTTTAGATCAAGGATTAAAAACGTCTTTCGAATCACTTGTCCAGGAAACAGAGTTGGAAACATTTACTAAGCTCAAAATCATTTGCTCTGGTCATGGCAAAAACTTCCCCAACCCAAATACTCAGACATGTTACCCCTATTGTACAAGAGATCCCACGTTCGTCCTTCTCCGAAAGCACTCCTCAGATGCTGAGCATGGTCACCACGTACTGATGGCATTCACAGCAGAGAACAACTTGTCGCTGCCTACCTCCTCAGGCTCCACCAGCTCCACAACTCTTGAAACAACTAAAGGACCGTGAAATCAGGCCTGGCAGGTAACAGCACAGCGCTATGGCATTCCAGTGGGCCGCAGAGAGGCACAGTGCCAAAAGAAGGTCTAGTGGCACCAGAGCAGAGCCTCGGTTTGCCCCAAGCCAAGGTTTTCAGAGCTTGGAGTGACTGCATGGTGGAGTTCTGGGCCAGGCGAGAGGGAGAAGGACAGCCCTCAGTATTGTGGAAAACAAGGAAGATTTATTTCTTGCTCATTTTAATTTAAATCTCATCCTAGACTTCTGTCGCGTCAAGAAAGCTGCTGGCAACACCCTAAGTTTTGAGAACACTCGCTCCTTAATCAGCCACTGCGTCGCAAGGGCAATTCCAGTACAAATTATCATCTGTAAAGAATAGCCTGTCACGTTCTCATACCTGGCAAGCTTGCCTTCCCGGTATGTCCTACCCCAGGGGTGCCGATGTTTCTGAAGAGGCCAGACATCCGGTAGCCACAGCGTCACCGATCCCTCCATGATGTCCCCGTCAGCGCAAGCTGGTTCTGTTTCCCGACAATAGTAGCACTTCCCGTAGAAGCAAGTGTTATTACCTTAAAAAAAAAAATAAGAGGCATGAAAAGAGCAGAACTTAACCCAAGGGATGCCAACTGCAGTTCAGGAGCGTGCTGCAGCAGCAGGGCCTTCCCTGCAATAGGATTTCGCTGTGCTGAGCCACATGCTTCCCATCTCCGAGAGGGAGAGGTTCGAGGGAGATTCATCAGACATCTCTCCATTCACAGCAACGTTGAAGACCAATATTCAAAGGAGAGAGTATTTTCTAATGTTTATCACACTTGGAGTTAATAAAACATCACGCTATCAACAAATCTTTGCGATCCCTTCCCGGTCCTTAGGACCCTGACTTTGCAAACTTGCACTGCTGCTCGGTTTTCAGATTTCATACGTTGCATGTCGTATTTCTCACTTTTTCAAAAAAGCTGACCAAGAAGAGACAAGTGAGAACAGACTGAGGAGAACTTAAATAGATTTGGATCCCCGAAACCTGCCACACGTCTCGGTCACCTGAGCCGACTCCACAGGGCAAACACAAACGAGCTGTCACTCTCAGACAACCGAGGAACACAGAGCTGCCCGAGGGTCACACGTGCCTCCTGACAGGACAGGACGAGAAACCCTGCGGTCCTTCGTCTACTACGGCCTAGGTAGCCTGCAGCACAATCTACCTAGCCTAGACTAACTTTCTCAGCCTTAGCCTTTCCTATTTCACCCTTCCAACCTGCCCTTGCTTGACCCTTCCCAGCTCCATACTCACAGACCTTCTTCCAAAATACTCTTCAACATCATCTCACTTCCTTCAGCCCTACATCCAACATCCTCTCCAGGCCAGGCCCAGCTCACTGAAAGATGTGTTTTTCCCCTTCCATCCTTACACATCACAACTCCTTAACCAGCCAGCCCTCCTTTGCAGTCCTCCACCCGGCTCTTGCGCTCCTGGTATCCCAGGCGGACAACTGGAGGACATCAGAGAGATGATCGTTCACAACACCGAGCTTGCAGCACACCAGATCTCTTACTCCTGTGGGAAGCCCTGCAAGTCTCTCTTCCTACCCACGACCTGCAGCAGCTCCAGCTGGAGACAGAATGCTTGGAGATTCTGGCTGCAACTCCAGGGACTCTGCGCTGGGAACGCATTCGTTATCTTCAGAACCTCAGACACCTGGTCAAACTTGGTTTGACAAGAGACCACAACCACCCATTTCTCTGAGAGTAACTGGTATTTTATGGAAGCCTGAAGGAGTTAAGCTGCAGCATGAAGTCATTTTGTGGTACTTAATGACCACCTGGTAGGGGTTCACATCGGTAACTCCCACGAAGCGCCCTTCGTGGCGTTACTGCTGTAAACACCACACGGGAGAGCCGAGGCGTTGGGTTCTGAGCGCTCAGCAGAC